AAAAAAAAAAAAAAAAAGAAAGGCCCACAGACTGGGAGTCCTAAAGAGCAAGAACATATTGTCCCATGGTACAGGAGGTCAGAGGTCCAAGGTCAGGGTGTTCCAGGATTGGCTCCCTCTGAGGGCTGGGAGGCAGGATCCGTTCCAGGCCTTTCTCCTTGGCTTGTGGGTGTCTTTTTCCTGTGTCCTCATTTGTCTTTCTTCTGAGCCTGTCTCTGGGGCCAAATTTCCCCCTTTTTAAAGGATACCAGTCCTGGGGCACCTGGGTAGCTCAATTGGTTAAGCATCTGACTTCAGCTCAGGTCATGATCTCACGGTTCCTGAGTTTGAGCCCCGTGTCGGGCTCTGTGCTGACGGCTCAGAGCCTGGAGCCTGCTTCGGATTCTGTGTCTCCCTTTCTCTACCCCACTCCCCGACAACTTGTGCTCTTTCTCAAAAATAAATAAATAAACATTTAAAGAAATCCCCATCTCCCTGATCTCACATTCCTCTCCAACTACTGTACTGTTTATGGCACCACTTCCTCCCAGGGGTTTCTAGGGGCTTTTGCCCTGTTCCTTACTGGGGGCTCCGGAAGCCACTCTGATTGGCCCGTGGGTAGGGCTCATCTCAACACTCTACTGCCTGCTCTGTTCCCCACTGACCCTGCTTTTCCAAGTCCAGCAGCCAATTCTCTGCCCTTCTCTGATGTGACCACTCAGATGCTTTGCTTTTCTTTAAAAAATTGAGATATATTGACATATCCTAAAATTCACTTTTTAAAAAAAGTTATTTATTTATTCATTCATTCATTCGTTTAGAGAGCCTGCACAGGAGGGGCACAGAGAGAAGGAGAGAGAATCCCAAGCAAGCTCTGCTCAGAGCCCGAGGTGGAGCTCGAACCCACTAACCGTGAGATCATGAGCTGAGCAGAAACTGAGTACTCAGGTTCTGTCCCCTCCTGAGCCGCCTTGTGCCCCTGGTTGGATCACGCCGCCCTGGGTGGCTTTCCTTCCTACACACTGGCCTGTTTCTTCGCTGTTACACTTTGATGTCTCCTCTTCCGCCCACCACCTTGGTGCCCTCTGCGACCTCATGGCGGTCAATATTGTCAGTGTTCTAGCAACTTCCAAATGTCATCTCTCCTGAGCTGCAGACCCACAGAACCACTGCCGGTCAGCGGGCACTCGAGCACTTTTTTCCCCTTGGCTTTGCGCTCCTGGAAAAAGGAGATCTCAGTGGCCCGGGCTGTAAAATCATCGGACTGTCGGCAAATCCTCGGTCCGCCTTCAAAGCGTGTCCAGAATCCGATCACGCCCCCTTACGGCCACCGCGGCGCCCCCACTCTGGCCCTTCCAGCCTCACTGGCCTCATGGCTCTCACCCTTGACTTCCTGAAATCAGGTCTAGCAGTTCGTCCCTCCTCGGCTCAAAATGTTCCCGCGCAGCACGGATGGTATGATTCCATTTCTACGAAACATCCGGAATGGCCAGATTCGCAGTGACAGAAAGAAGATTGGGGTGCTGCTAGGCTCCCTGGGTCTGGGAAAAGGTGATGGAGGGATGGGATGCTAGCTAAGGGTGCGGGTTTCTTTTTGGGGCAACGAGAATGTCCAAAAGTTGACAGTGGCCGGGGCGCCTGGGTGGCTCAGTTGGTTGAGTGTCTTGACCTCGGCTCCGGTCAGGATCTCACAGTTTGTGGGTTAGAGCCCTGCGTGGGGCTCTGTGCTGACAGCTCGGAGCCTGGAGCCTGCTTCGGATCCTGCATCTCCCTCTCTCTGCCCCCTCCCCTGCTCATGCTCTGATTCTCTCTCTCTCAAAAATAAACATTAAAAAAAATTTTTTTAAATTAAAAAAAGCAACCCCAAAACAATTCTGGGCCTAGCTGCCAGGGCTGAAAACAAACCTGGCTTAGCCACACTACTGTGTGACCGTGGGCACGTCTTTCGCCCTCTCTGAGGCTCAGTGATCTCACCTGGAAAATGGGGATACTAACAGTCCCTTCCTCATGACCTTGTGAGGATTAGGGAAGGTGACCCTTGGAAAGCTTGGTGCTGGCAACGTTGGCCACAAGTAGTAGCTTTTAGTAGCAAGTGCTCGGTGTCCACATCCACCACCCCTTCCGGTTTCGGCAGGGGCACATGCCCCCGGGTCCCCCGCCTCCCCCAGGCAGACCAGGGTCTGCTGCACGACCCACCGATGGCAGCCGTCCCGGTGCCCACAGCTCCCCGGGCGGACGGGCAAGGGCTCAGAGACATGGGCCGGGCGGACCACGGTTTATTGGCGGCTCCACACGCGCACTCACGGCGTCACACGACAACAGCACAGTCACTCGGAACACGCGAGGAGGCCTCCGCCCACAGCGGGGCCCAGAGGCAGTGGGGTGCGTCTCCTCCGGGGGCGGGGGGTTCCTCCCGGGCCGCTGAGGGAGGGCACCGCGGTGGCCCCGGCTGGGACAGGGGGCGAGCGGGGCGGGGGGTGGGGGGGCGCCCTCACTCCAGGCTCTGCAGCATCAGCAGCTGCTTCAGCACCTTCGTCTGGCTGGTCTCGCGGATCTCGCCGGCCAGGAACATCTCGTCCACGACCGTGTAAACCTGAGAAGGGGAGGGGGGAGGGGGGAGGGGGGAGGGGGAGAGGTGAGGGAGGCCCTCCCCCTCCTCCCCCATCCCCACCCATGGGGGCCAGTCTAAACCCCTGAGGCCACAGAGCCAGGAAGCGGACAGGGGCTGAGGCACCGGGCGGCCCTCCCCCACTGCCCTCCCTGCCCCCCCCGCCCCCCCCCGCCTCCCCCAGCCCACCTTGTAGAAATTGAACACCAGGTCCAGTTCACAAACGTTGTGGAAATACTCGTTTAAGACCTGGGGGAGGAGGCAGAGATGGTATGAGCCGGGCAGGGAGAGACACGCCGAGAAACTGAGGGAGGGGGAGGGAAAAGGAAGAGAACCAGTAACGAAGACGGTCAGAGAGACAGAAGGGCAAGAACAGGGATGATGGGAGAGCGACAGCAAAAGACAAGACAGACAGACAGACAGGCAGAGGGAGAAAGAGGAAACCGCACGGGCAGAGAGGGGCAGAGGGAGGCCCGCGCACGGACCCGGGGAGGTGGGGAGGGTCTGTGGGTCCTGAGGGGAGATCAGAGGTCCCGGGGAGTCCGGGGGGGGGGGCCCAGGCCACAGCCCCCCCAGCCCGCGCACCTCCACGAAGTTGTGGATGGCCTCCAGGTAGGCCAGGTTGTTGTCATTGACGTCCACGCAGATGCAGAAGTAGAGGCCGGCGTAGCGGCGGTAGATGATCTTGAAGTTCCGGAACTGCGGGGCACAGAGGCCGTCAGCGCCCAGCTGTGCCCAGGACCCCACGCGCCGGGCAGAGCGGAGCCACAAAGCTCAGCCCTTCGACCTGTGATAGGTCCCTGAGGTCCTGCTCTGTGTCTGGCCCTGTGCTGGGGACACGGTGGTGACAGAGACAGGCCCGGCCCTCCCCTGGCGGGGCTGCCAAACCCATGGAGAAAGATTCATCCACTGTCATCCCCAGCATGGGCAGCTAACCCAGCCTGGGGATCCAGGAGGGCTTCCTGGAGGAGGGGGTGTCTGAACTGCGATCTGGAGGATAGCAGGAACGAATGGGCAAGAGCACCCCAGGCAGACTGGACGACATGAGGAAAAAAGCGAAGAGCCGAGAGGGAGGCTGGGGAGTTCCACGATGCCCACCCCACCTTTCCATGGCTCCCTGTTGCCTCTGGAGAAAGTCAAATTCCTTAGCCTGGAACTGATTCGTGCAATTATTCCACAAACGCAGCAGGCCCTGTGCTGGGCAGTGTGGTCACTGCTTGTAACCAGGACAATCCCAGCCTTGCTTTTAGGTGAATCGTAATATAAGCAGGAATTTTTCTATAGTAATGTGTACACCACCCAGGAATAAATACATATGGACCAAGGACGCAGGCTCTAATTTTATATGCGGGGGAAATTAGATAAAGAGATAGATATAGGGGCACCTGGTGGCTTGGTTAAGCATCCGACTTTGGCTCAGGTCATGGTCTCATGGTTCGCTGGTTCGAGCCCCTCGTCGGACTCTGTGCTGACAGCTAACTCAGAGCCTAGAGTCTGTTTCAGATTCTGTGTCTCCCTCTCTCTCTGACCCTCCCCTGCTCACGCTGTCTCTCTCCCTCTCTCAGAAATAAATAAAATAAAAAAGAGAGAGAGAGAGATATAAATAGGCATAAGGGTTTGCTAAGCACAAGGTCTTTGGCCCAAGTCTGAAAAATCCCAGCTCTGGGTCTGGTGTTCGAGTGTTTTGTCGCCACCTAGTGGAAGTTACAGAAGCCAACATTGGTCCCTGATTTTTATGTCCCCCCCATCCTTCTGTTAATTTCTATACTTTGAGTATGTTTCCTTTCCTTTTTTTTTTTTAAAGTTTATTTTGAGAGAGAGAGCAAGCACACGTGAGTGAGTGGGGGAGGGGCAGGGAGAGAGGGAGAATCCCAAGCAGGCGTGGGGCTCGATCTCAGGACCCTGACGTCAGGACCTGCGTGGAAACCAGAAGTCGGATATTCAGCCGCCGGAGCCACCTAGGTGCCCAGCATTCTTTCTTGAAGTCTTCTCTCTCCCGCCATCACCCTTCTGGCTTGTCCCTGTGCCTTGGGTTTAAATTTGAAGGCTTCTTGGGGCACCTCAGCGGCTCAGTCAGTTGAATATCTGACTCTTGATTCCAGCTCAGGTCATGATCTCAGGGTGCTGAGATCGAGCCCAAGTCAGGCTTTACACTGAGTGCCTGCTTGGGATTCTCTCTCTCCCTCTGCCCCTCCCCCCGAACGCACGGTGTGTATTCTCTCTTTCTCGGGGATCCGCCCCACACCTTCACGCCTTCTCCCTTCCCCAATAGCTTGCTATCTACTCTCTCAGATAAGTCTCTTCCGGCAGGCTGGGCAGGTCCCCTCTGCATGGCCCCCACCATCGGGCCCCGCCCCCACCCTGACCACGCCAGGCATCGCTGTCTGGGGGCGGGCCTGTCCACCCACTGGACTGTGGGCCGGGGCTGTCACCACTGAGTCCCCAGCACCAGCCTGCACAGGATGATGTCCAAACCCTAATTCCTGGAATCTGTGAATAGGTGACCTCGCATGGCAGAAGAGCCTGCGCAGGTGTGCGCTAAGGATCTTGAGATGGGGAGTCTGGGAGTGTCCGGAGGGGCCAGAGCAACTCCACAGGGTCCTTATGGGAAAGAGGAAGACAGGGGTGCGGGTCAGAGAGAGAGTTCAAGAGTCTGTGCTGCTGGCTTCGAGGCCGGAGAAGGGGCCACGCGGACTGCCTCTGGAAGTGGGAAGAAGGCAAGGAAACAGACTCCCCGGGGCCTGCAGGGGGAACATGGCCCCTGCGGACACCCGGCCTCAGGACCTGTAAGACAATAAATCTGTGTTGTTTTGAGAGTTCAGTAATTTGTTACCACAGGGGCGCCTGGGGGGCTCAGTCCGTGAAGGGTCCAACTCTTGATCTCGGCTCAGGTCATGATCTCACAGTTAGTGAGTTCGAGCCCCACACAGGGCTCCGCGCTGGTAGGTGGGGCCTGCCCAGGGATTCTGTCTCTCCTCTCTGCCCCTCCTTCACTTGCGTGCGCGCATGCTCTCTCTCTCTCAAAATAAATAAATAGACTTAAAAATAAGGTAACTTGTTACCATAGCAAAAGGGAACTGATATAGGTGCCAAGGAATCTGCATTAATGAACAAACGAGAGGAAGAAAGTTTGGGTGGCCGGGGCCTTCTTGCTGATACTCATCCTTAGAGTCTGCTCTCACAAGTCCCCTCCTCCGGGAAGCCTGCCCTGATCTCAGTCTCCCGAGAGAGACAGTGTTTAAGGTCTCCTACCCCTGATCCTCCCCAGTCTGTTGGGGGAGGGACCAATTCTCTCTCACTCCCTACTGCGTTCCCTCCTCCCAGAAACACTCCCTGACCTTCAGGCTGAGTTGGGGGGCCTCTTCCCACCCAGCTGCCCGGTCCCAGCCCTGCCCCGGGAAAGAGGGGGAAATAAACGCAGGAGGGATCGCATGAATGAATGAAAGGCCTGAGTCGGGAGGAACAGAAGATCTGGGCGTCAGGGCCGCTTGTGACCTGCTCGCCTGCCCAGCTGGGCTCACTGACCCCTGGTCCCTCAGCACCCCGAGCAGGAGGTCCGCTATGCTGGCGGCAGGGGGGCAGGTGTCCGCCCCCTCCTTCCATCCCGCACCTGCTCTGCACGCTCTCGCCCAGCGCCCCGCTCCCCACACGGCCCCTATCCTGCCCTCCTCCTAGAAACCCTTTTCTCTAGGCTGCGGGGACCCCGAATCTCCTGGCTTTACCTCTACCTCCTCACCTCCCACCTCTAGAGATGGCCTCTCTTCTCTCCTTTGTTCCCCTCTGCCGAGGGGCCTCCTCCCTGGCTTTCAGCACTTCAGACCCGCTAGCCTTCTCTGCCTCGGTAGTTTCCTGCCTCAGGGCCTTTGCACTTGCTATTCCCAGGTGTGGAGTGCTCTCTCTCAGATATCATCTCCTGCCACTTCTTCAACTCCTTCACGTCTTGGCTCCAATGTCACCGCTTCCAGGCCTCCTACTGAAATCACTGAGCCCTGCGTTCCAACCCCTGGCGTACACACGCCAGCACTTCCGCCCCGCACGGATGATGCTTTTGCTCCCCAGCACCCGGCGCCACCCGCTATGCTCTGCCTCTGTTACCAGTCTCCCTCTGACCAGAACATCAGCGCTCTCGGGGCAGGGACTCCGGTCTTTCTGTCCCTGCACCTAGGACAGTGTCTGGCAGGGGCGCCTGGGTGGCTTGGTCGGTTGAGTGTCCGACTTCAGGTCAGGTCATGATCTCACGGTTCGTGAATTCAAGCCCCGCGTCAGGCTCTGTGATGTCAGCGCAGAGCCTGCTTCAGATCCTCTGTCCCCACCCCCCTCTCAGCCTCTCCTCCTCTCTATCTCAAAAATAATAAACATAAACATAATAACAATAATAGTAAGGAACAGTGCCTGGCATACAGTAGGCCCCCAATAAATGTGATGAATTTACAGGACAATTAGTCTGGGTGATGCCATGGGAATTAAAGACACAGCCTTCCTGATTTAAGAAACCAAAGAGGGACGCCTGGCTGGTTCAGGCAGTACAGCCTGAGACTCTTGATCTCAGGGCCGTGAGTTCAAGCCCCAGTTAGGCATGCAGATTCCTTAGAATGAATGAATGAATGAATGAATGAATGAATGAATGAATGAAAAGCCATATAAGATCCTTGACTGGCTCTGAATAATCAGGTTTGACAATCTGGGGGCATGTAACTACTGATTGGGTATTAGGGTAATTAAGGGAGTATGATTAATTTCATCAGGTTGGCTAACGATATGGCGCTAACATAAGGAAATGTCTTTATTTTCTGGGATATGTAAGAGTAAAAAGTCATGATCTCTGTAACTTCATCTCAAACAACGCAGCAAGGGATAGTTCCTTATCCTAGTCTCTCTACTTTTGTGTGCTTGAACATTTTTGTAGGAAATTTTATTTTATTTTTAAGATTTTATTTTTAAGCAATCTCTACACCCAACGCGGGGCTAAACTCACAACCCTGAGATCAAGGGTCACGTGCTCCTCTGACTGAGCCAGCAAGCTGCCCCCATTTTTTTTTCCTTAAGATTTTTATTTTTAGGTAATCTCTACACCCAACGTGGGGCTCGAATCCACAACCCCAAGATCAAGAGTTGCATGCTTCACTGACTGAGCCAGCCTGGCACCTTGGCGCCCTCATATTTTTGTGTGTGTGTGTTTTCTTAAATAAATTTCTTTTCAATGTTTATTCATCTTTGAGAAAAAGAGAGAGAGAGACAGAACAAGAGGCAGAGAGAGGGAGACACAGAATCCGAAGCAGGTTTCAGGCTCTGAGCTGTCAGTACAGAGACCGACTCAGGACTCGAACCCATGAACCGTGCGATCATGACCTGAGCCGAAGTTGGACGCTTAACCATCTGAGCCACCCCAGGCGCCCCTTTATAAGAAGTTTTAAAAAGGCACCAGAAAAACGATAAATCCTTCAGCCAAAAGAAAATGGTAGAGCAAAAGGGTGAAATATTAATACAGATGAAATTTGGATAGTGGGTGTATGAATCCGCAGTCAACTTCCCTCTCACTGTATTAATCTGTACGTTTGAAAATCTTCACAACGTGGGGAGTCTGGGCCTGGCGCCTGGTAAAGTGTGTGACTCTTGGTCTCGGGGTTGTGGGTTTAAGGGCCACACTGGGTATAGGGACGAGCTAAAACTAAAATCGAAAAGAAGGAAGGAAGGAAGGAGGGAGGGAGGGAGGGAGGGAAGGAAGGAAGGAAGGAAGGAAAGAAAAAATTTTCACAAGGAAAAGTTCTTTGCAGAGAAGGAAGATCTCAAGCTCAAAGCCTGTGGAGGGAATGACCTTGGGAAGGAAAAGGGGGCCTGAGCGGTTCCTACGGGCAGAGGTTGGGCGGGAGGCTGGGAAAAACTGGTGAGAGGAGGCAGGTGAGTGTGGGAGGCGTGGGGGGGGGGCGGGGAGCATCACCTCCACAAAGTTGGTGTGTTTGGCGTCTCGGACGGTGACCACGGCGTGCACCTCCTCGATCAGCTTCTGTTTCTCATCGTCGTCGAACTGCATGTACCACTTGGCCAGGCGCGTCTTGCCCGCCCGGTTCTGGATGAGGATGAAGCGGATCTGGGGACAGCGGGGACAGCAGGAGGAAGAGGAAGTGAGGGTGGCAGGGAGGGCTGGCCGGGGCGGGATGTCCCGCCCCAGGGCCCCACCCATCCCCACCGGGGCCCACGCCCCCTGCTGCCTGCCCTCTGGGGGTCTCAAGTGCTCCTCAGACCCAGGTCAGGCCGGCCTGGCCACCTGCTCCCGCTCCAGGTCACAACACCCCAAGGGAATGGCTTTTCCCACTGGCCACCTCCTCTAGTCAGCTCCAGGGCCCTGCGGCCCAGCCAGGCTCCTCTATCCCTCCTCTGCTTGACCTTGGACAAAGGATCGGTCCCCTGGGCCTCAGATTCCCACCAGCAAAGTAAGTTTCCTAAGACCCATCTTGTCAGAGTCTTCTGCAGGAGAAAGGTTTACAAACTTAGTTCAGTAACCGGCACAAAGCAGGCACTCAATAAATGTTCGAGTTTCAGGCTTCTGCGGTCTGAATCCTGGAGACTCCACTCTTTTTTCCTTTTATTTACCCATTCCTTAAATTTCACTCACTTAAAAAAATATTGATGGATTTTGAGAGAGAGCGCACATGTTCAGAGAGAGGGAGAGAGAGAATCTCAAGCAGTTTCCGCGCTGTCAGCACACAGCCCGACGCAGGGCTCGAACCCACGAACTGTGAGATCATGACCCGAGCCAAAGTCGGACGCTTAACCGACTGAGCCATGCGGGTGCCCCTAAAACTCACCCACTTAAGAAGTGTACAGTTCAGTGGTTTTTAGTGCCTTCATACAATTGGGCAACAATCACTATTCTCTAATTCCAGAATATTTTCATCACCCCAGACAGAAAGCCCCACCCATTTGGCAGCCACTTCCCCTCCCTCCATCCCCTGGCAAACAATAATCTTTCTGTCTCTATAGATTTTCCTGTTCTGGACATTTCATGTAAATAGAATCAGACCATATGTGGCCCTTGGTTTGGCTTCTGCCCCTCGGCCATGTTTTCAAAGTGCATCCACATGGAGGCACGTGTCCAGGCTTCATTTCTTTTCTTTTAAACATTTTTATAAATGTTTATTTATTTCTGAGACTGAGAGAGAGAGAGAAACAGAGCACAAGCGGGGGAGGGGGAGACACGGAATCTGAAGCAGGCTCCAGGCTGTGAGCTGTCAGCACAGAGCCCAACGCGGGGCTCGAACCCACAAACCGTGAGATCATGACCTGAGTCAAAGTCGGACGCTTAACCGACTGAGCCACCCAGGCGCCACCAGGCTTCATTTCTTTTTATGGCTGAATCACATTCCACCGTAAGGATATACCTCGTCTTGTTGGCCTGCCCATCAGTTGATGGATATTTGGGTCATTTCCACTTTTTGGCGATTATGAATAAGGCCGCCATGACCATTTGCATGCAAGCATTTATGTGCACGCATGTTTTCATCTCTCTTGGGTATATACTTGGCAGGGGGGACCTCCGGGTCATATGGTAACACTACTGTCTCACTTTTTCAGGAACTGCTGAACTGTGTTCCAGAGCATTTGCCCCTTCTCGAGTCATGGAAGTGCTTGGTGCCTCAGTTTACCCACCTGGAAAATAGGGCCTCATAAAAGTGCGATGGGAAGTATGAAAAGAATCTAGACTAGCACAGTGTCTGGCTCGGATTATGTGCCGTGTCAGCTCTGTCATCAGTGAGGGCTAGGAAACTTGTTCTTGTGATTCTGAGAAGCCAGGTCAACCCTCAGAAGACTACTGTGAAAAAGTGAAAAGTTCATTCCAGAAGGGCTTAGCATAGTGCTCATTATATGTATGGCACTCAGTACAATTAGTGATCATGGCTAGGGACATTTGTCCAAGTGGCTAAGGACACAGACTCTAGAGTCTGAATGAATCCTGGGACTCCTAGCTGGGTGTCCGTGGGCAATAACTTAGCCTCTCTGGGCCTCAGTTTCTCCTTCTGTATAATGGACATGATGGGAGCACCTGCCTCATGAGATAGTTGCAAGGGTTAAGAAATGTAAGGGGCGCAGCACCGTGGCTAGCACATACTAGAGGTTATACGAGTATTAGTTCTGAGGGGTATTATAATTCACCATCATTTGACATTAAGAAAACCAAGGCCCGGAGTGCCTGGGTGGCTCAGTCGGTATGCGTCCGACTCTTGATTTCGGCTCAGGTCATGATCCCACGGTCACGGAACAGAGCCCCACTCAGGCTCTGTGCTGAGCGTGGAGGCTGCTTGGGATTCTCTCTCTCTCCCTCTCTCTCTCTGCCCCTCCCCTGCTCGCTCTCTCTCTCTCAAAATAAATTAATTAAAAAATTTTTTTGGGGGCGCCTGGGTGGCTTAGTCGGTTAAGCGTCCGACTTTCGCTTGGGTCATGATCTCGCGGTTCGTGGGTTCGAGCCCCGCGTCGGGCTCTGTGCTGACTGCCAGCTCGGAGCCTGGAGCCTATTTCAGAGTCTGTGTCTCCCTCTCTCTCTGACCCTCCCCTGCTCACGCTGTCTCTCTCTCTCTCTCTCCTAGAAATAAATAAAAAAATATATTTAAAAAAAAATTTTTTTTTAACGTTTCTTTATTTTTGAGAGAGACACACAGAATGAGAGTGGGGGGGGGGGGGAGAGAGAGAGAGAGAGAGAGAGAAATACAGAATCTGATGCAGGCTCCAGGCTCCAAGCTGTCAGCACAGAGCCTGATGCAGGGCTTGAACCCACAAACTTTTGAGATCATGACCTGAGCCGAAGTCAGATGCTTAACCGACAGCCAAGGCACCCCAAATAAATAAATACTCAGAGAAAGGAAGTGTCCCAGCCACAAAGCACACCTGGGAGTCGAAAGGCTTTGCTCTGGACCCCTTTACCCTGGCTGACTCTCTGGGACCCTCTCACCATCCATGGGAGTCCACTCTCTTTCCTAAGCCTCACTCTCCAGTATGCGATTCCCCCTTCCCCCAACCCAGCCAGCCAGACACCGACAGGATATTACACTCCCCTTCCAAGAACCCCATCTGCTGAGCCAGGGAAAGCTACTTCCTAGCAGGCCAGGGGTCCTGGGTACAAAGGGAAAGGTCCGGGCCTGGGTGGGGAGAGGCTCACTAGGTAGCCACAACCTGGGGGCGGAGCCAGAGATATATAGAGCATAAGGGGAAGAGAGCTAAGAGTTGAGGGGGAGACCTGCTTCTTACCCCCAAATTCCCTTACATGCCTCTTCTACATCAGAATTTTTCCACCTCCGGAAATCTAGCCTCAGAGGACTCTTCCCTCCTGCATCCTCAACCTCTGACGTTCTCTCTGGATGCCCCCCAACCTTCCCTGTCTCCGAGGCCCCAATGGGGCCATCCCATTTCGACTTCCAATTTCCGGGTTTCAATCAACCCCCTCTTTGGGGCTTCAGAAGGCCTTTTACTGGGGACATCCCTTCTTGGTCGCCAAGGCCTCCTCCCCTGTTGGCGGGGGAGACGCCCTCGTTCTGACACCCACCCCCATTCATCTCGTTTTTCCAGCTCCCTGCCCCAAGAATCCTTTCTTATGGTCCAAAGACCCGTCCTGGGGGAGGGGAGCCAAGTTCAAAGCCCAGCCCTTGCTGCAAACGCTCCATTCTCATCTCTCACACTTCCAGGTCTACTCCGACCCCAAGACCCCTCTTCTTGGAAGGACCCGTTCCATTGCCCCCCATCCGTTTCTAATATGCGCTCCCTACCTCCAAGCCTTCTCCTGCTTTGCAGCACGCTTCCCCTGATCCTAAAGCTCCGTTCCCTATAGCAGCCTGCTTCCCGTCTCCCGGGCCCAGTCTCTTCCCCTTGAGATTCTCTCTCTCCCTCGTCAGCAGTACCCCTCCCGTTTCAACAGCCCCTCTCTTCCTTCAGTGTCAGCTTCCTCCTTCTAAAGACCCCTTCTCTCCAATCCCCGAGGTTTCCATTCTTCTCCAATTATCGTGCCACACTCCCAGGGAGCCCTTCTCTGGGGACGCCCCCCCCCCCCCCCCCCTCCCCCCCCCCCACCTCCGAGGTCCCGCTTCGCGAGTTGCCTCCTCATTCCAACCCCCCGCCCCCGCGCCAGTCATCTCCAAGGTCTCCCGCACAGCCCTCTCCCGTTGGCGCTAGGTCTCTGATGTCCCCCAGCTTCGGGACCCCCCGGTGCGCTCCCGCGCCGAAAATCGCCGCCCAGGTGCCCCCTTCCCGGGCCTCCGATCGGCCCCAATCCCGAGAGCCCGCGCCCGGCCCAAACCATCGCACCGCGGCAGGGGAGGCTTGTCAGTACCCAACCGAGCCTCAAGCACCTGCACGTGGACCCACCCTGCGCCCGTCCCCAGGGTGGGAGCGCCCCCGTTACCATGGCGACCCCCGTCCGGACCCCAGCGGCCCAGGTCCCGCGGCTACTTGGCAGCTCCGGCTCCCACAGCAGTTCGGGGACCCGGGACGAGAGCGGACTTCCGGCAGAAGAACTCGCCCGCCTTCTCGCGCACAGCCCACTGGGAACTGTAGTCTGGAGACCGCGTTCTCCCGGCCGGGCTGCAAGTCTGGGAAAAGGGCTGGGCCCCCTTCCCAACATGCTGCGCGACCGTCCTTTTCCCACCGCACGGTACAGACCCCCAGTGCATGCTGGGAGTTGCGGGTGAAAGTCCCTGGCGAGGACTACAATTGCGCGACAGCCCCAAAGGGAGTTGCATTCTGGGAAATGTAGTTCCAGTAGGCTTCCCTCCATGCATATCCTCCCCAGGCGAGAAGGGCAGGCTGGAAATAGTAGTTTTAAGTAAAAAATTGATCTGTGGGCCGGGGGGGAGGGAAGAAAAGAAGAAGGAGAAGAAACTGCGTTGTGGGAACTCGAAATGTAACTCTGATCGCGATCACCCAGTGTTTTGTTTGAAATATACTGTTTCCCTGTGGGAGATCGAGAGTGGTTTGAGAGAATGACTTTTGCGAGTCAGAGCTGTGTGCAAATTCTGCCATTGCATTTCCTAGCTGTGTGACTTTGGGACAACAACTTCACCTCTTAGTTCAATTTCTTCATCTGTAAACAGGACTAATCTAGAGGTCACCTTGAGTAGGGTTGTTTTAAAACTTCGGTAAGTTTCCAAAGCACTTCTCACGGTGTCTGACATGTAGTACTTGCTCAATAAATACTAGTTAACATCACGAATGCTCATTGTTAACATACACCAGATAGTAGGAGTCTTTTTACCTCCCATCCAGAGCTACAGTTGTCTCCTTTCAGTTATTAAAATAGCCCAAATATTTTCCTAACTCAGCAACTTTTCCTTTGTGCTTTGCTATTCTCTAGAAGGCCTTTCTGCATTCATCCTGTGGCTGACTCCTTTTCTTCCTTTACCTTAAACACCACTTCCACAGACCTGTATAGAAGACCTTGCCTGAGTACAAAAGTGCTCTTCTCCCACCACCAAAATTCTCTAGGTTTGATTTTTTTTAAGTTTATTTATTTTGAGAGAAAGAGAGAGAGGTAACGGGGAAGCAGCAGAGAGAGAGAAAGAGAGAATCCCAAGCAGGTTCCACGCTGTCAGCACAGGGCCTGATGTGGGGCTGGAATTCACCAACTCTGAGATCATGAACCAGTGATCAGTGAAACCAAGTTTCATTTTTTTATAGTATCCATGGGGAGACCCTCTGATGCCCTGAACTCAGGACTGACCTCCTGAGCTCAGAAAGCTCCAAGAAGCATCCACCTAAGTATCAAATTCATCTTTTGGAAACTGACTAATGAATTGTTGGACTGGGAAAAGAAACATTTGTGGGTGAGGTGCCTGTGCAGATGAATCAGAAAGTGCCCAACAGTTACCTGGGCTTCATTTTGATGTTAAAATTCCCCCTCTGAATATTCATCAGAAGCCATCATTAAAGGAGCCTGTTTACCCTGGTCTTGGGGGTCACTGCTTTGGAAATTATTCCCTGTGATTTTCTTATTTGTATAAATAATGATGACCTGTGAGGCAACTCCACTTGGGGTAGTCTTTGTCTATATAACTCACCAAGGAGTTATATAGGGGACAGGTTGTGGAGGGCAGGGAGCCTGTCTATTAATGTATCTACATCCTCTAGAACATGGTGGCACTTGGTAAGCACTCGACAAAGTATTACTATTGATACTGAGGAAAGACTTACCCTCATAAAAACAAAGCACATCATAGAACAACGTAAACGCAAAATGTAGAATTAGCAGAAGCATCACACATTGGCATGAAAAGGTTAGGGATTATTTCTATCTGGTGCACTGCTCTATCTCTAGCAAGGTTGGGACCGAGGTAAGGTAAGCAAGGTGCCCAGGATATAAAATTGAAAATGGCACTCACTCTTGAGCGTGCCTGGGCAGCTCAGTCAATTAAGTGTCCAACTCTCGATTTTGGCAGAGGTAATGGTCTCTTGGGTTCTTGAGTTCGACCCCCACGTGGGGCTCTGCACTGGCAGCACAGAGCCTGCTTAGGATTCTCTGTCTCCCTCTCTCTCTCTGCCCCTTCCCTGTTCTCACTCTCTCTCAAAAATTAAAAAAATAAAGAGTCTTAGGTGATGACCCTGCCCTTGCATGAGCCTGAAAGTGAGCACCTACTTGAAGTTTGTTCCCTGGACACCTCGCTTGACTCACCTTAGCCCTCACCTCCCAGCGCTGATTTCTATGCCAGTGCCCGGCATAAGTTTGGTGTTCAAAAAACATTTGCTGAATGAATGAATGAATGAATGAATGAAGGAGTTAGTGAACAGATGTCAAGAAAACAGACCCTGTCCCCACCATGACAACATTCATGGTTGAGCAAGGGGAAAAGGACATTGTATAAATAAATTTTAAAATTACCTAGGAAACAATAATTTTTTTAAATCTCACACAGTTTCTGTGGGTCAGGAATTTGGGAGTTCAGCTGGGTGATCCTGGCATAGAGTCTCTCACATGGTTGCAAAGGAACAGATTCTTGTCTCTGCCTTCGGGAATCTCATGGCTTTGGAAGCTAAGGTGATATTCCACCTATAGGGACAGAAAGAGCAATCTTTCTTGCACTCTAGTATGGATTCTGAAAGGATCCTTCCGTTTGCAATATCACGATGGTATGCTTGTCACGGGGAAAAACTGGGAAGAGTCAAACTATGCATTGTGAAGGAGAAAAGTCAGTTCATGTGCAGCTACCTGACAAAATATTATGCGTAGTTAAGATGGGGAGGGTCGCCTGGGTGGCTCAGTTGATTATCAGACTCAACTTCAGCGAAAATCAAGAGTCAGAAGCTTGACTGACTGAGCCATCCAGGTGCCCCAAGACATTAACAGTTTGAAGAGTCTGCATCAGTTATATTGCAAAACTTAATTACCCTTACTTTGGGTTTGTCTGATGTTTCCTCATGATTAGACCCAGGTTCGACATTTTTGGGCAGGAATATGACAGAAATGATCCTGTTTCTTCTTAGAGTATCCCATGAGGGGCATGTGATGCTAGTTTGTTTCATTTGAGTTTGATCATTTGGTGAGTTTGATCATTGGACAAAGGTAATGTCTGCACTCTTTTTTTTTTTAATTTTTTTAAAATTTATTTCTAGGAGAGAGAGAGAGAGACAGCGTGAGCAGGGGAGGGTCAGAGAGAGAGGGAGTCACAGACTGAAACAGGCTTCAGGCTCTGAGCTGGCAGCACAGAGCCCGACGTGGGGCTCGAACCCACGAACCGTGAGATCATGACCTAAGCGAAAGTCGGACGCTTAACCGACTAAGCCACCCAGGTGCCCCTCTTTTTTCTTTTTTAAAGCAGGCTCCACACTCAATGTGGGGCTTAAACTCATGACCCTGAGATCAAGACCTGAGATCAAGAGTCAGACGCTTAACCCACTGAACCACCCAGGCACCGCCACATTTTTCTTCTTAAAAGTTATGTGGTTGGCAATAAGAAAGAATGAAATCTGGCCATGTGTAGCAACATGGATGGAACTTGAGGGTGTTACGCTGAGCGAAATTAGGCAGAGAAGGACAAATACCATATGTTTGCACGTATAGGAGGATTAGGAGGAACTTAATGGAGGACCCTGGGGGAGAAGAAGGGGAATAAATAGTTGGGGAGAGGGAGGGAGGCAAACCATGAGAGACTCTTGAATGCTGAGGACAAACTGAGGACTCATGGGTGTGGGGGGGAGGGGGGAGATGGGCATGGAGGAGGGCACTTGGGATGAGCACTGGGTGTTATATGGAAACCAACTTGACAATAAACTATTTGTAAAAAATTAAAAAAAAAGTTATGTGGTATATCTGATACTAAACCCATAAGCAGCACAAGGAAAAAATGCTGAGCATCAAAATTAAAAACTTTTGTGAATCAAAAGACACTATCAAGACAATGAAAAGACAACCCACAGAATGGAAGAAAATATTTGCAAAGCACATATCTGACAAGAGATTGGTATCCAGAGTAATGAAGAACTCCCACAACTTGACAACAAACCTCAATTTAAAAATGGGCAAAGGACTTAAATAGACATTTCTCCAAAGAAGATACACAAATGGCGAAAAAGCATAGGAAAATATGCTCAACATATTTTCAGGGAAATGCAAATGAAAACCACAATGAGATACAACTTCGCAAGCATTAGGATGGCTATGTCAAAAACAAAAGAAAACAACCACCACAAAAAACAATAATAACGAGTGTTGGCAAGGATGTGGGAAAATTAGAACCCTCGCACATTGCCAGTGAGAATGTAAAATGGTTCAGGCACTGTGGGAAACAGTTTGGCGGTTCCACAAAAAAGTTAAATGTGGAATTACCACGTGATACAGCAATTTTATGTCTAAGTATATATTCAAATAACTGAAGGGATTCAAATACCTGTACATCAATGGTTCTGCAGCACAATTCACAATAGCTAAAGACCCAAATGTCCATTAACAGATGAATGGATAAACAAGATGTGATATACACAATGGAACATTATTCAGCTTTTAAAAGGAATGAAATCCTGATACACGCTCCAACATGGATGAAACTTGAAACCATCATGCCAGGTGAAATAAACCAGACACAAACGGACAAATATATGATTTCACTGAAATAAGGTACTTAGGGCACCTGGGTGGCTCAGTCGGTTGGGGGTCCGACTTTGGCTCAGGTTACGATCTCACAGTTCTGTTCGTGGGTTTGAGCCCTGCGTCAGGCTCTGTGCTGACAGCTCAGAGCCTGAAGCCTGCTTCAGATTCTGTGTCTCCCTCTCTCTCTGACCTCCCCTGCTTGGACTGTCTCTCTCTCTCTCTCAGAAATAAATATAAACATTAAAAAATTTTTGAAATAAGCTACCTAGAACAGGCAAATTTATTTAGAGATAGAAAGTAGAATGCAGGTTACCAGGGGCTGGGGCGTGGGAGGGAGGCAGAAAGGGGAGCTATCGTTGGGATACAGAGTTTCAGTTTGGTATAATCAAAAATTTCTCAAAATGGATAGTGGTAATAAACAACATTGTGAATGTACTTAACACCACTGAAATGTACATCTAAAAATGGTGAAGTGGTAAATTTTATGTTATTTATATTTTACCACAATAAAAATGTTACATGATTCATATTTAAAAAAACACCAAAACTTCGCAACTTAGTAGTAGCTGTCAC